TAAAAGACGTACAAAAGTGCATTTTGCATGATTAGGTCTACCTTTAATGTTTAATGTTGTTTTTATAGGCAATAATTTAAGCTCTGTTAGTTCCAGGTTTATATGTGCAATAAGTTCATTTCAATAAGTTTTGCAATAAACATTGAACCAGTCCGGCCCTCGACTAGTACCCATTTTTTTATGTTGGCCCACCGTGTATTTGAGTTTGACACCCCTGCTTTAAAGGTGGGGTATGTAATTTATTTCAGAAACACTTTTTGTTATATTCCATGGAATGCTCTTAACACCCCGATAGCAATTAATATATTAAATGCTTTGACAATAAATACATACAAACATTTTATCTGTGGAAGCCGTAGTACTGTAAAAAGCACGGCCAATCATCTGAGCCGGCCCGGCTAAAGTAACTGGATGGCCTACCTGCCTGTCAGCCTTCCATCTGTGCACAAACTTATCCCGTGCCCTCATTGGTCATGTGCGCGTTTGTGTGTGTTGGAGGAGGGGCTCTGTAAGGAAGTGGCAGATTTTTTCCGGTTGTGTATTTTCAAATTCTAGCGCACTCGAGCTGGTTTCTCCAAAATGACCTACCCCACCTTTAAGGTTTGGATTTAAAGCATGATTGAAGACCGGTGTGTGGTTAAAGTGTGCGTGTATGGCAATGTGTGCCAAGGCAGCGATATCTGACACAACAATCTAACCCCATTTACTTTCTAATTATAGGTGTTCTAATGAGAACAGCTTCATGGTGAAATTGACAGCTTGCGGAGGTTGTATTTACATCTGAGATTGTAAAGCTTTTACAAGTACAGTGAACAAGGCTTATGAAGCACGGCTAAATAAGCCCTTCATTTACTGTACTGTCTCTTTGGCCATGTGTTTGATTTTTGGCGCACTTTAAGCTCTTACTTTCGTAACGTATGCGGAATCCGATGTCCGAGTGGCTCTTGTCAGTTGAGAAGAAGAGAAACAGGAAATTGGAGGTGCTGATGAGGAACTGGGGAACCTGGGTTCCCTGGTAACTGCCAATGAGATGTGAAGAGGGAAAACGTCCATCGCGCACCTCGAGGATGTCATAGTTGACCTCTGTGCGGAACCTGAGAACAGAGTAAAACAAAGTAAGTTGGCTGTAAGTGATTGTCTCTACTGGATCCCACGTACCTATGTCTCAGAGGGTTAATGCACTGATTGGGGAGTGAGAGGGTTCATGCTGCAATCCAAGACCCTTCAGTCAACATGTTGAAGAGTCCTTACCGCAGATAGCTGACCGCAGATCACTCCTGTAGGTGTCTACGGTTCAAGTCTATGTAAATCGCTTTGGATAAAAGTCTCAGCTAAATAACTTGTAATGTCAAAGTGGGCGAATTAGATTTTAGGTAAATAATAATCAGTAAGAGACATTTAGAATGATCAAGGAACTCCACTGATGAACTGATTATAAAACCAACCGAAAAGCAGGGTTGTGATTTTTAAAAAGATCATTGATTAAAATGTCACGTTCCCTGTAATCTGAATAAAAGAGATTGATGCTTGAATTAACATCAACTCAGAACATTTTGCTTTTAACCCACATGCTAATTATAAATTAGCTGAATTATTTCTAATTTGTACATGATGAGTTTTAGAAAAATCCTGAGACATTTGGCTTGCATTGGTGTGTGTGTGTGTGCGTGTGTGTGTGTGTGTGTGTGTGTGTGTGTGTGTGTGTGTGCATGCTTGTTGTGTGTTTCCCTCTTTGTTGCCAGAGCCACTCATCTTCAAAGCCATGAATAAATTGCTGGGCTTCAGAACCATGTCATCTGAATGAAGCGGTTTGTGGTGTTTTATTGATGTTACATACAAATGAAAGAGCAACACACATTTATGTTGTATTCAGTTTGCATTGCATGTCAGGGACGAGGACGGGATGTGCTCGCAACGATGAGCCTTCGTGAAACGCTAATGTAGCGTTTGATCCTGCGAGTGTACATCTCTATCTTCCACAAACATCAGGACAAATCTCTCCCATCTCTGTGGTTCCCCTTGACGGACCATCTCCGCTTACACATGCGTTGCAAAGTCATGTACATATAGAACATTGAAGTTTAAGTGGAGTTCTAACAGTAAATGTGTGTGTGTTTAAACTGTAAGTACATTTGTGGATCATTAGGGAGGGGCTATCAGATGAAGAATGAAATACTTATGAGTGTGCACTAAATAAAACATATTGTTATCCTAGTTGGTGGTGTATGTTAATGCGCATTAGATCTACTGCATAACCACCAGAAAGAGAAGACAGAGGAAGAGATTAAAGGGGCTCTTTATGCTTTTGGGCTTTTCCCTTTTCCTGTAGTGTGTTACTAGGTTTGTGTTCATATAAATGGTCTGCACAGGCTAAAATCCAAAAGTTCCCTCCAGAGGGAGTTTCTCTAACGCACAATCCCTCCTGCCTGAATGCCTCCATTGGACTCCTTTGTTTACTTCCGTAACATAATGACATCACTAAGCAACACATGCGCTTCTATTGGCTAGCCCTCCAACACATGGTAAATGATTGGCTAAGAAGCGGGACATCTCTTAGCAGTTGACCACTCACAACAGAGCCGGCCAGCTAACCAATCAGAGCAGACTGGGCTCTGGTTTCAGACAGAGGGTGAAAGCATGGGGACATGTCACAGTAGAAGCTCAAAATACAAATATGAAACCTGAAATGAGCATACTATACTAATGTCCTCTTAAATAAAGCAGTGGGAAGAATGTGAGCACATATTGTAATTGTGACAAGGTAAAGTAAAGCTTGCCCTGAAAAATAGACGAAAAAAGAAACATTTACACAGCAGCAGTTGCTATCTTTGTGACTCACTTGTCGAAGATGATCTTGATGGGGTAGCCTGGAGGAGCCTCAATGATCCATTCACAGTTAAGGGCCTCCTTATAGAGTTCTGGCCAGCCGGGGGAGAGGATGATCCCACTGGGAGCCTTCAATTCCCCTCCACATGGGGCTGACGGAGAGAGAGAAGAAACCGAGTGAGAGAGAGAACAGATAGAGATTGAATTATGCATGTCTTCCCCATCTGACGTATGACAGTGTTCACAGATGATTCCATGCATCAGACGGGGCTCATCCCATTTCTTTTAGTGCCAGGGTCTGTCTAATGTAAACTGGAGACGTCTCACTTCAAGGTTAACCATTTTCTCCTAGGGACACACCTCTCCATCGGACGTGTATCTGTGTGCACAAGGGCATGCATTACATAACCATGTGTATGCATATGTCTCCTCCCTTATGCTGCTGTCTTTAAATCCGTCAAACCCCCTCCCTTAAAAGGCGCCGCTGTCACCCCCATCAAACTGAGAAAACAGAGTGTCTTTGATCGCTAGAACAAAAGACGCTTGAGCACATCGACCCCCGTCTCATCGTCTTACGGGTTTCACTTTGCCGTGCATTTTGTAACTGCCTAACCAGAACACACGGAGCAGGGCTTAGTTACAGTGCCAGCTCCTGGCTCCTTTTGAAGTGGAATGATTTAATCAGCCAACTCAGCATACTGAAGGACATCTATAAAACGCATTACTCTACAAACGCAGGGGTATGATAGATGCCCTCAGAGGAATACAAAGCTGCTGTGGCACAGGGGGAAGTGACATGTTTTCATAATGGTTTCTCTTCTGTGTATCGTGAATAGAGAGCCTGATTAGACCCCTCAGAGCTCTAACCATGTCCGTGCTTAATGGGATACGCTGCCGGTGTCCAAGAGCCTGAGCTGGTTACCACCTAGCTGTATCTTCGCTTTGCCAGCTCTATTGGCCTTTTCTGATTTGCTGGAAATTGTTTATTGATATTGAGTCAGAGAGGGGTAAATGGACGGTTCAGCAATCTGCATGTAAGCACAGCATGTCTGCAACAACAGATCATTTGAAAGCAAAACAAAGCTTCTGTATCATCTCATGCAATCTCTTCCCTTTCGTCAGATTCAGGAGAATTTATGGTATTATTGATATTAATTAGTCGTATATGCAACATTTGTAAAATAAATGTAGTAATCCATCAAAGACGAAGCAGCAAATCCATTTTTAGATAGATTTGATGTTGATTGATTTCCTTCCCTTTATACACACCAATCCATTTGCTGTTTGGATGTGCAGAAGATATAATCTCTTTACAATCACAAGATTCAGTTATGCTACATTACCAGCTAGAAAGAACATCAAAACAAATACTCTCATTTCATCAGTTTTTAAGGGATAACACAGTGGGCACTTGGCTAATGAGATGCTCGACCACGGTAAGAATGCTCTCAGATGAAAATATATGCAAATTCCTCCTAATGGTTTAAATCCTCTGCATATTTAAAGTGATTATATCTAGATTATCCTTAGACACAACTCCTACAATGCCATCTTAGATACAATGTGTGACTGGTTAAAAAATATGGGATAAATCCATCTTTACAAATATTTTTAAACAATGTCAGTTATCATAAGGACGTTTTTTTGTAGTCTCTAGCATAGGCTGTAATGTAATGCCAGCTAATGAAAAAAAAAACACTCTCCTCAGACGTAAACTAAGTGAAACTAAGAAGAAATTAGGTCCAACTGTAACATTTGTGAATGACTAGATGAACTCACCTTCACAGCGGGGAACTGCATTATCCCACACCACGTTGCCATCCTTGAGAATGCAAGAGACTGTCTGCGAGCCGTGAGTCTTGACGAAGCCCTCCTCACACAGAAAGGAGATGGAGCTGCCCAGCTGAAGGCTCTCACCGAAGCGCTTCCCATTCACCGGCACACCCGGGTCTGGGCACTCGTTATGGCGAAATGCTATCGGAAATGCAGAGAGGACATAGGGTTAGTGTGAAGAAGAATCAAAGTTACAAAAACATTCAGTGATTACTTCCCTTAGTCACATTTAGGCAACAGGCGCATATTTATTTGTGAGAGGAATATTTCACCTGCATTTCTGCTGATATTAATACTTGTCACATGTAAGACTTTCTGTGGAAAGACACTCATTTCCATTGAGATTCTAAAATAATTAGTCAAGTTTCTGGACAAAACTAGTTTTTTTTCCTTCTGTCAGCAATTAACAATGCCAGCATTTAACGAGAGGAGATTTGTTTCAATTAGTGAGTCACATTGATTCACCCTGCTGCAGTGATTCCAGAGGGTGTGAAACCTCACCGTATGCACATTACCAGCGCCAGATGACATGGTGGAACGATACGTGGAGTGGAGGAACAGGGAAAATATATTTCATATATCATCAGGACTTTATATATTAAGCTTCTCAATGAAACTTCAGGCAGGAACCAGTTATAAAAGGATGGGTACGAGACACAGTCACACAAGAAGAGGCATAACCCTGGAACAAGGCATGTAAACAAATACATCACCTGCGCCTGTCTCTCCCTCTCACTTACTCTCTCGCTCTCACTCTTGTACACACACGCAGGTGGGTGACACGTGTAGGTGTTGATGAATCCCTCTTCTGTAGCCATTGGACCCAAACAGAGTGCCAGGCAAACCTCATCCATCACGATCATCTTATTTATTAATGTGCCAAAAATCCCCTCAATACAGTTTGGCATGTCCTTAATTAACATGAATGACGGAAGCTGTCCGCTCATTGCTACCCCCCCCCCCCCCCCCCCCCAAAACAGACCTGCAGTGAAATGACACTGTTTTTCAGGAACTAACCGTCATCTTCAATTAACTGCTGCTGACATTCATTTACCACGCTGCAGTGGTAATTTATTCATCTAACTTGCTTATTAATTCATTAGCCACCATGTGTTGTCCACATTGTGGTTTTAAAGAGACACCTGGGTTCGGTGGATGACATGCTTGCAAATGAGCTAAAGCCATGTCCCTAAAGCATTCTGGGTAGGCTGATGTTAGTTTCTTTCAGCTCAAACAGGAATGGTTTAAAAAGCTAGAAACAGAATACAGGACCAGTCTTCTGAATATTGCCATACTACATTCCGGTCAATACAGTGTATTAAATAACTGAATAAGTTGCAATATTAAGTCCAGATGAGTTTATCACACTGGTTGACATTGCTATGACGACATATCAAATAATATATTGTGCAGTTAAATTACCAATACTGTTTTAAGAATTTGTCAATGGCTACAAAGCTGATATTAAGTATGGCATGTGCCGATTACTACAAGAAAAATATTACAAATAATAACTATAATGATAGTGCATCTGGAAAATGCTTGACTTCAGACATACATATGACATGATACAGCTTTTGAACAGGGGACATTAAGGCACACGATGTATTATAATTGTTCACATGATATTCAAAGCATAAAGGGCACATTTTTTTTGATGTACAAATTAGACCCAATTTACGAAGATACAGGCTCAATGAAAAACGATTAGTGCCATATGTGATGCTGACGTTAACAAAAGTCAAGGGTATATCTGTGTGTTGAGTAGCGTTCGGGTATATTTAACATTAGTAATAGAAACAGACAGGTTTAGATGAGATTAAAGGTGAAGTCTATTTCATGTTCTGCTGCTCGTTTTATGAAGATTTAAAGGCTACATGTTTCAGTAAAATGTCCTTCATTTCAAATGAATAATTTGGTTGGAGTGATGTAAAAAAGAATGTAGCTGTAATTTAAGGGAAGGAATCTTTTATGTGGCAGATTTTGATTCCTTAAAGAATGTTTAGTTCTAATGCAGTAAGTGATATTCTTGTCTGACACATGTATCACCACTGTGGCTGGATGTGTGTGGACATCATGCCTGAACCTTGCTAACTAATGGTGTGCTATACATTAACTCTATGATACCGTGTTAAACTCAAAGTGAGAAACACACACTAGACCACATCAAGAGCAACAAACTGTAAAAGTAAAAATAACATTTCATTGCCTGCATTAAAGTGAGTCACTGCAACTAATGGACAACAAACCGTATAAAGACAAACCTCCCAACGGCACCTTTACTGTCTCTAAAACAGCTCTGTGGCTTTAAAAGGGTTAGGGTTAGGAACTAGGGAGATGTTTATATTGGGATGTGGATAATGCAAAGATCAGGCTCATTTCACAAGAATGCATAAGCAACGAAAGCAATAATCCTGCTGCCAAACCCTCACGGTACAGTATATCCATGAAATGGGTTTACCAGCATGCAGCCAACGTGTTCTGCGTCAGAGTAAAAAAAACCCATCTGGAGTTTCCTCAGAAGTCAGCAGCTACCCAGAATAGAACATAATGAGCTCAGCCGTGAAGTATCTGTCAGGTAAGGAAGCTGCATCTTTGTTTGGATGTCAAGTTTCTATTTAGACAATAAAGACAGGGTTTTTGTCATTCCTCTTTGCGACTGGAATCTTTTGCTGAAGGGGTTTATGCAGTCATACAATGGGAAACAAAGATATGGCAGATGATTCATGCATGCACAGAAATTGTACACGCAGAAACAATCTAGAATACTAAACGTCCAGTCAGAGCAGGTTTTTGTGATAAGCTTTAAAGACTTCCCTATTTCTTATTGGAAGTAACATTTCATACTCACTTGTAAAGGTGATGTTGAAGCCTCTGTCTGTGTAGGTGTGGTCAGTCAGGAACTCTAGCCGGGCAACATGGGCACTGGTTGTTATTGAAGGAGGTAGGACGTTACCGGAAAAGGTGCCCAGGATAGGAGACTCCGCCTGATAAACACACATATCTGATGAGACCAAATGCTGAAGAGAGTAATCGTTTGAGAGAGAACAGCAGCAACAGGAGATATACAGATAACATAAGACCAAGGACAAACACACAAACAGCTTAGAAACTTATTTGTTCAGGCTGCTTCTGCTCACACACACAATGACATGTCGATAGTTGAAGTTGCACTAAAAGAATACACCAAGAAACCAAGGACACAGCTTTTTTCAACAGTACCTTTCCCCCGTCCTTGATGGAGAGGAAGTCGAACTGTTTCTCCATGCTGAGGTCGTTGAAGGCCAGATTGATGCGGCTCTCAGGGTTGCTGATGATGAGCCACACACAGTGCATGTTGTTGCCATACTCCTGAGGGTAGTTAGGAGACAGGAGCACCCCGGATGGAGTGGTAAAGTTGAAGAAACAGGAAACTATAGCGGTGATGAAGAGATATAGACAAGAGAGAAAGGGAGAAAGAAAGAAAAAAAAGCAACATGCACTGAATATGGTTTAGGAGGCTGAACAACAAATTCTGTTTACTTCTGCCGAGGGACAATATGATTAGATACTTTGGTGTAAACCACACCACACACTCTCTAGACATCATAAAGACAGCAGACACCACCATAATACACTGTGTACAATTACAGTTACCTTGGGCTTACAATTGGTCCATTGGATATACAAGGAACAACAACTAAATATGTCTGATATTGATGAAAATTGCCAAAGACATCATATCATAACATTTGTTTGTTGCTCATTACGGCAAAAATGTTACCATTTATACAGCGTTATATGAAGGGAGGAGCTTTTTGGAAAAATAAGTCAAGTAAGCCTTGAGGCATGAAATGGGGATAGAGACATCTTAAGCCAAACTGAATCTTACAACACTTAAGAAGAACAAATAATTTTCTTTTTGTGTTGTCAATGAAAAAGAAAAGGCTCTGAACTCCCTCTCTGACAACTATCAAGGCTGTCACTTGATCCCAATTACTCGATATCCTTAGACAGCAACAGCACAATACCTTGATGTTACTGGGCAGATGTGGCCCTCTTTGAAAAGCTAGACCACAATGTCTGCTTTATTCATGAAAAAAAGGAAGTATGAATATGATGTCAATGACAGTGCTCTCCTTCACTGAGATATGAAGGAGATCTGATAGGAAAAAGACTTTCAGGCTGTCATGGGTACTTGCACCCATTTCTGAAACAACTCTGCATCTTTGTCAATTTTCAAAGACTAAATAGATTTCAGATGAAGAATAGCTCATTTAAAAAGCAGATGTGTCTGGCGTCGACGTGCTGGGCTGTTTCACGGTTAGGGGATGTTTTCAAATAACACAGAGTTTCCAACATGTACGTAGGTTGACCAGGAAATTAAATTACCGTAAACTTAATTGAAATGTCAAAATCAACACCAAGTAAGCGTAATCAAGTTCAAAGTTAAAGAACAAAACATGGAAAGGTTGAGGTCGTTTTAGCATTATACAATTAGGTCTGTCCTTGACTAAAGAAATTCTTAGTCGACACTCGGTTTTGAATATGCACAGCCGACATAATAGCCGACTCGTGGGAATACAACTATTATAATTTACAGCCAACTGTTCCTTTTTATTATTTAATTAATCAAAGTCAAATGCTTACCCAGCAGTGGAGGAGCAATTTTGCTTTTTAATATCATCATCCTTGGTCTCAATTGAGTGATGACAGGGCTTCTGCCTATTGCCCTAACATGATGATGACTTAATCATTTTTTACTAAAACGCTACGAGCCACCAGATTGATCAGAATGTGTTCCACCATATAAACACATTATATTAATATTAACAATGCCTAGTACCTGACGCAGAGGCAAACAACCAACTAGGCAATGGACAGCTCTACATTTAGAAAAAGCAAATCCTCATATTGACATTATCAAATTCAATGACAAAAGTGTCTACATTACTATAACAGTTTGATACATATTTACATAACAAACAGAATGTTCCAGTGTTATGTGACCAAAGTGACTCTTGTGTCATTCAGCCTGGTGATGTTTATCTACTGCACCTTTTGTCCATCCTATTATATGATCAATTATACAACAGTGGACATTATCCGCATGGGTCAGCTCTTTTCACCCTCTAACTCCGACACTGGTGTTGTTGGTCTTTCATGGCGTTAATTAGCTAATAAGCCTCTGCTGGGCAAACTGCAGGGATAATCTGATCATTTATTATGCAGCCCTCTGCACAAACATACATATGTATGGCAGGGTTTCCGTTAGCCGGTAATTACCGTTTTTTAGCTGGTAAAATGTATTAAAAACCGGTAAATTCAAAACCTGCCGGTCAAAATGTCCGGTAATAATTAGGGATGCTCCGATCGATTGGCCGCCGATCATAATCAGCCGATATTCACTCTTAATAGTTTGATAGGTGCTCTCTATGAAGGCCGATCAGGAGAGCTGGATCTGATCGATATGGACATAAACGCGAGTGAAGTGTAATCGGACGCGAGAGAGAGATCAGATCAGCTGCTGCATGATCACCTGAAGCCCCGCCCACTGTTTAGCGCGCTGCATGAGAAACTGACGGGCTGTCGGGAGAGAGGGGGAGGGAGAGAGGAAAAGAGTGGATCCGTTTCTCCCGTGTTATTATCCAAAGTTAATTTAAACTTTTGAATAATGCACTTCATCTACTACAAGTAGTTTGTTTGAATGTAATGTTGTTTGTGGAACTGAAGCAATATAAAAATGAGCCCCATTAACTGAGTTTTAAACATCAGCATATCCGGTCATAGTCTGGTAATTACCTGCTAACGGAAACTCTCCGACACAATTATTATTATTATTATTATTGAAACATGACCGGTAAGTTTCGAATTTGTCCGGTAAAATAAATTATTTCCGGACCTTTGACCGGCAAGAAAAAATCCTAGC